ATAATTGTTATTATAGATAATAATAATGATAATTGTTATTATAGATAATAATAATGATAATTGTTATTATAAATAATAATAATGATAATTGTTATTATAGATAATAATAATGATAATTGTTATTATAAATAATAATAATAATGATAATTGTTATAGCAACAATAATAATGATGATGATGATAATTGTTATTGCAACAATAATAATAATAATGATAATTGTTATAGCAACAATAATAATAATGATGATGGTGATAATTGTTATAGCAGCAACAATAATAGTTGTTATAAATAATAATAATAATAGTTATTATAAACAATAATAATTGTTGTTATAAATTATAAGTAGATGTAGATATTACATTAATTACTATTATAAATAATAATAATTTATATAATTAATAATAGTAATAATAATTATAATAGTAATGAATGTAATATCTACATGCATGACGTATTTTTTAGATTAATGCTTGAAATCTCTACTTTAACATACTGTTTCTGGATTTTAAGTTTGGTGCACCCTCATCGCTGTAACTCTTTAAATGTGGGGCCATGTTTGTCACATTGAAAATTGTTGAGTTTCACGAAATTGTCAAATTCTCTTGCCCTTTAATTTAAAAAAAAAGAAAAGAAAGAATCGATCTTGCGAACAAAATCGCAGCACTTTAAAGACCCTAATGAATCAGGCAACGATTTCCAATACTTGACGAATAATAAATATTTACGAGTGCATTGTACAAAAGAGAAGCAAAATCGGGGCATTGTTCTGCGCATACATCGAGGTGTACACCCCGCTCAAAAAGTATTGGGACGCTCGCGGAGAATCAAATAAATTCGATAAACCTGTTTGGAGGTTTCTTGTCTGATGTGCTCGTGAAAATGAGTATGTATGTATAAGGTTTTGAGCACGTCCACGTGTGCTTTTATTTTTTATTATATAGAATATAATTGCTTTTATTTTTTATTATACAGAATATAATTGCTTTTATTTTTTATTATATAGAATATAATTGCTTTTATTTTTTCTTGTATAGAACATAATTGCTTTTATTTTTTATTATATAGAATATAATTGCTTTTATTTTTTCTTGTATAGAACATAATTGCTTTTATTTTTTATTATATAGAATATAATTGCTTTTATTTTTTCTTGTATAGAACATAATTGCTTTTATTTTTTATTATATAGAATATAATTGCTTTTATTTTTACTATACAGAATCTGCGTAGTCCGCAAGAATAGTAGAGTCAGAGTCAGGATAAGCGCAGGAGCGGTCCTTCCCTGTTATTTTTCTATCGCTTATACATATACCTGGCTGTTTGTTCGTACTGTAATGTAATTTCCCTCCAGGTATGCTCGACCTCTGCGATGCGCCGGATCGGCTGCGGGCCAGCTGTGGGCCATTGGGTCCTGCGGACCCTTTGGTAATCCCGAGGTTTATGATGCCAGCATTAGCTATTTGAAACCGAGAACTAAGGATACTAAATAACAGGAAACATGCTTTCTCGTTAATACACGAGTGAGTATTGGGACGGTTTTCTCAAAAATAACTTTCACAATAACTTTGCAAAAATAAATAAATAAACATTTATTTATTATTATATATATTATATTACATTATATTATGCATTATAATATATATAATATATATTATAATAAATATATACATACATATGTATATATATATATATATATATATATATATATATATATATATA